CACACACACACACACGCACACACACACACACACGTCAGGAAGGTCCTCACCGTCTCGTTTCGTCTGTTTTGTGTTTAAAGGCTGATCTGTACCTGGATCGTCTTGTGCAAGCTCCTCTGTGTTTCCCAGCTCAACGTCGAAGTCAAACAGGTTGTTCTCAAAACGTGGAACTAAAAGAGACAAACTGACCAATCAGAACTAATCTAATGAATGAACAGACACCCAGTTACTGAACATTGTTAAATAACTGACTGCATGGAAATAATGTCAAACATCCACAATTTTAGAAGTCCATTTTCATGATTCTTTAACATTTCAGTAGATGAAATTTAGGCCTTAGAGTTTAATGCATTAACGGTGTATCTGTTGAATCATTTTAATGAATTGATTCATAACTTTCATCAGGCTTTTTATAGTTAACTAAAACAAATATATACACACTGTACCCTCCATAAGTATTGGGACAGTAAAGACAAAATTGCTCTGTTTGCTGTGGAGTCAAGACATCTGCAAATATGATTAAAAGATGAATATGAGACAAAACTACAGAATGTCAGATTTTATTATTGGGTGATTGAACATATAGATGTTTTACCAGCGAAGAAGATCAGCACTTTTAGAGTTCATCCCACTATCTGATGTGAGCATAAGTATCGGCACAATTGCCTCACAGGTCTCTCTAAGTGATCAGCTGTGTCCTGTTACATTAATTCTTCAGATATTAAAAGCAGGGAATGTGTTGTATCTGTTATATCCATTGCTTCTGCATTCTGAGTCTTGCATTCGATGACGACACACACAAACCAGGATGAAGACGAGGGAGCTGACTTTGAGAGAGAAAAGCAAGCAATTTGGATGCTAAAAGAAAAGAGGAGGTCAATTAGAGCTATAGCAAAAACAAAGGGCATGGACAAATCAAGAGTTTGGAGACCACCGGAGACATCAGCAGCCAACGACAACCTGATCATCTGAGAAAAACAACAGCAGTTGATGACAGACAAATCATAAAAGCTGTGAAAATGAACCCTAAAATACGTGTCTGTAAAATCACCAACAACCTGCAGAAAGCAGGGGTGATGCTTGGGACAATCTACTGTCCGCAGGAGACTTGGACACAGAATTACAGATGCTACAGCAAGATGCAAACCTCTGACCAGCACCAAAAAAAGAAAGGCAAGATTAGAGTTTGAGCCAGTAGAGGCTCAAACTCTGGCTCTTGATTAGAGCCAGTAGAGTTTATGGACCGATGAGACAAAGATGAACCTTTATCTAAGGGATGTGAAAGCAAAAGTGTGGAGAAAAAAGGGAACTGCAAATAACCCTAAGCATACAGCCTCATCTGTAAAGCATGGAGGAGGTGGTGTCATGGCATGGGCAATGGGCATGCATGGCTGTCTGGAACAGGCCCTCTCAGCTTTAATGATGACTTAATGTATGATGACAGTATATCTGTTATATCCATTGCTTCTGCATTCTGAGTCTTGCATTCGATGACGACACACACAAACCAGGATGAAGACGAGGAAGCTGACTTTGAGAGAGAAAAGCAAGCAATTTGGAAGCTAAAATAATTAGAGCTATAGCAAGAACAAAGGGTGACAGCAGCAGAATGAATTTAGAAGGGTACAAAACCATCTTGGCTACCAGTATTTAAGAAAATGCCACCAGACTCATCAGAAAGCGCTTCGTAACGCATCAGGACAATGACCCAAAACACTGCCAGTTTAGTCGAGGAGTTTATCAGGGCAAAGAAATGCAAAGTCAATCTCCAGATTTAAATCCGATTGAACATGAATTTCACCGGCTGAAGAGTAGACTAAAGGCAGAAACTCCCCAAAACAAGCAAAACAGTTGGAATTGGCTGCATTAAAGGCTGGGGAAAGCATTTCAAAGGATGAGACCAAGTGATGTCTATGGGTCGCAGACTCACTGCTGTGATTGCATGCAAGGGATCTGCAACTAAATAATAGCTTTTAATCTTTTACATCTGCCTTAAGTTCAACTGTCCCAATACTTATGCTCACATCAG